TCACTCACACCAGCCTGCCCCTTAATTCTCAGTGTTTTAATACCACTCTGACTTGAACAGCCATTTAGCTTTTTATCTTCCAGGTATCTATGAAGGATGTGTTCAATCTTTTTTTCCTTTTTGAGTTCTTTTGTTATAGTTAATGCTGTATTGTTTTCTTAGCAGGCTTATGATCAGAAAAACATTAGACGGAGAGTTTATGATGCCCTTAATGTCCTGATGGCAATGAACATAATTTCAAAGGAGAAGAAGGAAATCAGATGGATCGGCCTTCCTACAAACTCAGCCCAGGAATGTCAGAATCTAGAGGTAAAGTGAGGTAGTTGGGGAATTCTGTATAGATCACAGGTTGTGATAATGGAGCTGCTCTACTTTAGGAGAAGTTTTTACTCAGTTTGAACCTGATTGGGTTTGATTCTGCACATGATGAAAATACAACTTTTGATATTTGAATAAACTGGAAGGATATATTTATGTACAATTAGTTCAATTTTATTTAGTATAAATTACATGAAGTTTAAAAAAAACCTGTTCACCTTAAAAGATGGAGATTGATTACATCAGGGATTAGTTTTAAGATTAAAGTCCGTAGTAGCCTGAATTAACCAGAAGAAAGTTAGACTTTATGGTGCAGTTATGCTTTCAAAATGGCGTACATTTAAAAGGAGACCGATTTTCTGTTAATGTCTGTACATGGAAATGCCATTCAAAGGAAATTAAATTGAAAAAGAATTCCTGCTAGGGTGTCAGATACTAGTTATGAACTGGTGAGGGGGTGGGGGAGAAGTTTTACTTATTGGTTATTTCCATTATTTTTCCAGCAGGCCAAGAGTTACCATGTTTTTGCAGGGATGCCAGAATGTATGTGCACAAATGTTGCTTGTGCTTCAGGCCAAATGTTCTATAAATAAAAAGCCCCAGTTACTGTATTTCTGCAGAGTGCTGTAATGACTGTCTGTGAATACATCTTGATATGTTTTATATTTGTGTTACTTGTGACATTAAATATCTGACAAATGTGGGTGGGGTGCCTCTCCAGGACGGAACAGGCTCTTTTGTGCAGGTTCATTTACATCAACTGTCTTTCTAGAGATGGTAAAAAAAAGCTTTTACTACCCTTGTCCATTACAGCAACTTGGAAAATACATCCACCCAAGGAGTACACAGATGCTCAATCGTTGTACTCCAGGATTGTTCTTTAAAAAAATTATGGATAAATTTACATTTTACATGCATTGATATGAATGCATTATCTTCAATATAGGTTATTGTTACACATATGGAACTTGAATTTCATTGTGTCATCTGCAACGATCATATGCTATTCACTGTTTCAGGCTCTAATTACATGTGCACAAAACAGAAGCCAAGCATATATTCTTAAAATATTGCTTCCTATGACATAATAGAAAAGAATAGAAAATAAAGCTGCATTTTCCTGGTGTGAAAATGAGAAGTAATTTTGCTTTTAAAGCTGTATAAAGTGCCAACTCTTCTTATAATGTAATTCCATAAAAAGATTACCAGTACAAAAATGAGAAACCAGTACCAACAGAAGTTGGTTATATAGAAACCACGTTTACATATATCTGTACTGTTTATTGGTTCTGAATTACATATTTGTCCCAGCAAAGTCAGTCATCTGCTGTGCTCTGAAGGAAGCATTTTAAACATCAAAGTGTGTGTTGGGGGAACCACTACAAAACAATTTGTAAATAAAATAGGGTGTTTAGGCCAACTAAATTTTAAAAGACTGTATAATTTTATTTCAGTGGTTGAAGGAAAAGGTAGTTTAAGAGTTTAATGTTTTTGAGAGCAGTGATACAGTGCTGGCATCAACAGGATGATGAGGAAAAATACCTTTTAAAGATGATGACTATTGTCCAATTCTTTAGTGTTCCCCCAGAGCACTATTTAAAATACCGTTGGTTGTATCTGCAGTGTCAGCAGGCATCTAATACTATTGCTGTCCCAAACAGTGCAAATGTAGGCTGAAGGTAGCTTTGCCCCGTAAACTGGCATTAACAAAACTGTTGCAAGAAATGGATTCTGTGCTCGTGTAGAAATACCGCCTCCACTCCCTTTTTGTTGCTGAAATCTTGTTAAGTTTCATCAAGTCTCAATGAGTAGTCCAAACAGAAAGTGGAGGTTACTAGAAAGATGCAGGTGATGATCCTGAGCCCAATCTCCACACATGTATGTCTCGGAGCTTGCAGCTAGAAGAGTGGAAGGGATGTGCACAATTCTGAAAGAGTGGAAGGGCAGGAGGGAAAAAAAAGAAAAGCGAAAACAAGAAAAAACAAAGCACCCCCCCAAGCAAGTGTTTGATTCAGCGCTAACTGGCACTCAGTGATTAATACAGAAGAGGAGGAATGAGGAGAGAAACGATATAATGCAGCCTTTTGTAATAACTGATTCTTTACTGGAGGTAAAACTGTTGACAAAAGGAAGAAATTACAATTTGTCAGACCTGTTTTATTGAGAAACTCATGTGACTATGTGATTAGTCTGTTTGAAAAATAAGAGAATATATGGTAAATGGGTAGGGCTGAAAAGACTTTTGCAATTCACTGCCCATGCCATTTAATGACATGCCCTGGAATTCACCAATATTTACAGAGAAAGTATGGATTTTTGTAATGGTGCTAGTGCGCTGGTGTGGCTCAAAAGCCGTTCAGTTTGGCACAATGGAACAGACAAGGTAACTAAGTAAATATCTTGATGCCTTTACATTTATATTTTAAGATAGAAAAACAGAAGCGGATTGAAAGGATAAAACAGAAGCGAGCCCAACTACAAGAACTGCTGCTGCAGGTATAGTTTTAAATATTTTTTCTATAAATGAAATTATCAAGTGCAAATCCAGCATACTAGAACTTCTGAAGTTCCTTCTAGATTTATTTATCAGCTGTGATATACCAGGGAGAAAAGTTTAATGCCTGTGACCTGCCTGCATTCTAGTAGGGGGACCTCTTACCCCCACTTTCTGGTTCATTTTTACCTGTTGTGAAACAGTGTGCTGCATCTGCGTGCCGCTGGCTTTTGTAGGTGTTCTGCTGGAGCTTTGTCAACATTAGTGGGAATGGGAAAAACTCCCCTTTGTGCTGACTCCAAGTTCTCCCGGAGTTACCTTCTCTGAGTAGCTCTTACTTGAAAATTTCTTCTTGATTCTAAGCTATGAGCTTTACAGCGGAACTTGTGTGAATGTGTATAGAGTTGTTCGGGAGGAGACAGACGTTTCTGGATCCTCAGAGTGGAAGGCTGGCAAATCCAGCTCTCCTACATTCTGACATGCACCTTAGAGATGCCTTGAGTTTTGGCTTTGATTGCAGAAATGTATTTCAATTGCACCTTTGCTTATAAAGTAACATTTTAGCAATACAGTTAGGAGCAGTCTTAAGTGTTTTGGTCTGTGCAGACTTTCAGTAATTTAAATGCAGTCAAACTTTTAAATGAGGTTACAGGCAATAAGGCTAAAAATACAATTTTCCTGTAATTAGATAGGCAATGAAACTTTTAAATATGTGACACTTCTTTTTTTCATCACCAAAAATTGTTTCTCTACTTAAGGCACAGCTCTTATTCTATCTGTCTGACCTAATAAATTAGCAGTTTCTCTAAGGGTAACATGAAATTATCCTGGTGAAAATAAGGCAACTCAGGCCTTCTAAACTGTTAGTCTGAAAATGACAGAGCTGCACTCCCTTGCTGTCTACAGCTGTCATCATTTCCTTGTTTATGTTCACTGTCAAATGGTTTACCAGTCATTTGGGATTCTGTCTATCCATCTTCCCCTTAAGCAGAGTAAGTAAAGCCTCAAAGTGGGTAAGAACACTGACGTCCAGTCCCTCAAATAACGTTTCCTAAAAACACACATTTTCATACATGTGCACTCAGGTAGAAGAATTCAGTAGAGAGCGAGTGGAGTCAAGAACGACACCTGTATTAAAAACTCCTGAGGAGAATTTTAAAACTGTCTCTTTTGAGAGGGAAAAGAGGGCGATGGAGGAGAAGAGGAGGAGAATATAGATCATGGGAAGTGGGGGAATGATGTAATTTCTGTTAACTTTTGTTTCAGTTTACGTAGCTCCTAGTCTGAGGTAATTATACACATAAAATAGCAGAGAAGACCTCTGACTCCATTGCTTTTTCAAAAGGATTGGGGTCCATTCTCCACCAAGCTTTATTGCTCTTTTTTTGTTTCTTCTCCAGGGGTTGTGAGGGGAGCATAGCCGTTAGGATATGGGTGAAAACTTTGTGTTTAACTTCTGTTCCTGGTGAGCTTCGCTAGTGCAAAGAGGAAGTCAGGCCACTATTTAGTTTTGACAGAAAATTACTGGAGGTATTGAGAGTTGGCAGATTAGGAGCTATGACGTTCCACTTCCTGGAAACATTGATGTCTGCTCTTTTATTGTCAGTGATCATTTTTTTTTCTTTCTTTCTGTCTACAGCAAATAGCATTCAAAAACTTGGTACAAAGAAATCAGCAAAATGAACAACAAAATCAAGGCCCTCCAGCTTTGAACTCAACAATACAGCTGCCTTTCTTAATAGTCAACACTAGCAAAAGAACAGTCATAGACTGCAGCATATCAAGTGATAAGTGAGTGCTTATAGAATCAATCTTCAGAATTTTGTTTTCTTTGTGGACTGGAATTTTTCTTTGGACAAATGAGAGAAATTTCTCTAGTTTACTAAAAGTATTTATGTATTTAAATTTGCTACTGTCACTTCAAGGGTGTTTTGGGTTTGGTTTTTTTAATATTTAATACAACTGCAGTAATAATAGGAGTAATTTTATCAACACTGCTTTACAATTGCTAGTTCCAGCAGACTGACTTTCATTGTTGTACGAGGCACTTCAGGCTGGCATTTCAAAGAGCATTCACTGCTCAGGAGAAATAACTGAATGCAGTTATATACTAGGACAGCACTAGCTTTTAATGAAGCCATGTGATAGTGCTTCTGAATTCTTTCTCCTAATATGCCATAAATGTATTTAGTCAGAAACACAAGGTGATCCATGTAAGACAAAAATAATGTCCTGGAGGTGATAGTAACAACTTTGAGAGTGTCTTCTAATAGCAAAGAGGTTGCACCTAGTTCTTTGAAGGAAAAAAAAAGGAAATTATATAGAAATTTGAAATACTGTCTTTGTAAACAAACTGCTATAGTTGCACTCTTATATTAATCTGAAAATCTTCTACTTATGTACGTATTTCTGAATGCTTTTGTTCTTCCTCCTGTGAAAACATGGCTGAAAGTATGAGGTACTGTTATGTTAACTGTTAATTGGATCACAACCGCTTTATTAGCTGAAAATAGCTGCCTTTGCTTTAATACTGTAGATTACAGATTTCACTCTGTGGTGTAACAAATCCCATATTGAACTTCAAGTCAATTAACATCAAGCAAAAATTGACAATCTCTAGTAACCTAAGCACCGACACACAGAAAATCAGTAGTATTAAAAGTTGAATTTTTGTAGAAAATTGGACTGAAGTCCAATACGTTCTGTGACAGAACTTTTGGAATACTCCCATCAGTACTGCAGTTCAGCAAGTTGGGAATTTTAGGATCAATATTGATTTAGCTTAACTACAGCCTTATTTTGTAGGCGTACTGTACAGTTCTTACTGCACTTTTAAACAGTGCTCTGTATTTAGGGCAAAAGTGGTCACTCGGTTTGGAGAATTCAAATTCTGTAGTTTATTGGAGAGTATCTGTGCTGCCTAACCCCACTGCTGGTCAGCTTGAGTGTCAGCCCTTCACTTGATTTCAACCTCAGTTAATAACCCACTGTTTAAAGGGTTTCCGTTTCCCTTTCTTCTCCCAAGTAACAATTAGGTAAAGCATTGGTTGGTCGGTATTTATGATGCACCAGCAGGTGATGTTATAAACTCCAGTGAACAGATAAACTCACAGCATTAGCTACTCAAAATTGTATTTACAGAGGATCCTCCAAAAGAAAACAATTGCTTGGAAAAATGGTACATCTAAGAGTGATTTAGCCTCATGAGGAACATAGGTTTGTGTCTTCTAAGTTTCTTCCTACACAAAAACAGACCTTATCAAGCCAAAACAGAATGAAATTTCTCACATGTAAAACAAAGAGGGTATTGCACAAATTCTGTTGAGAGTTTGAGAAGGCAGACAGGTACCAAGCAGTGTTCTGGGAATGACATTTCTGAAGGTGGAGTAAAGAAAAGCAGAGTCTTCAGATTAAAAGGAAGAAGTTACAAATTATGTTGAAAAGATGAATGGGACCCTGAACAAGCAGGTCCCATTTAAACAGGAAAAATGTATTTAGTGTATATGGTGTTTCTATATAAATGTTGTAGGTCTTAGGAAAAGGAAAGAAAAAAAAAAAGGAACGAGAATATCTAGTTTTAAACAGGCATTCAGACACAATAGATGTTATCCAAAACTCAGAAAATTAGAACATCTCTGTTCTAATAGGAAATGCAGATTTTGCCATTGGAGATACAATGCTGTACATTAGAGAAACCTGTGGGAAGTGGGAAGTTGGCTCTTGTACCCTTACAGAAAGAACTGCCTGCGAGAGCAGGAAATCCAGATTAAATTCATTGTTCATCAGATTTGCACTTACCATGGGAAAGTGGCAGGAACTGTACCCAAACTTTGCATACACAGTACTGCCTCTGGACCTCGCCTTTAGCACTAGATGGCAGCCCAGTAGATCATTCTATGAGAACAAATGAGAACATTATTGATTTCTCAGTAATGGCCAAAATAATGCTGGGAATTATTAGGAAAAACAGTAAGGAACACAGTGTAAAACTAGATGCGTGTAGGGCTTTTATATCTGGAATACTCTGTGCTGTCTTCTTGGAAAAAGTACAGCATAACCAGAGAGAGACACAGGAGGGCAGCAAGAATGACTGAAGCTATGAAAAGGCTTTCACAGAAGGAACAGATGGGCTCTTTGGCCTGGAAAAGAGAGGACAGTGGACTCACAGGTGTCTGTAAAATAACGGATGACATGGGGAGTGTGCATAGAGAACAGCTGTGCGCAGTTGCTTATTAAAGTTAAAATTAAGAGACATTAAGAAAAGATACCAGGTGTTGGGTTTTAGACAAAAAGAATGTAAGTGGTTTTGTAACAGTTTGTCTATGCAAAGCACAGCGTTTGATGTTGTTCGTGTCAAAAGGGGTCATGTCACATCCCTGAAAGAAAACCCTCAAATAGCTATTAACGGCAAAGGTGGAAGTGCAGGGATGTGCTACATCAGAGGCTGCAGGTTGCTGGAAACTGTACTGGAGAAATATTTGTTTGTTTTGAAACTTGTGGGGGGGAAAGGAGTTCTGCTCATTTCTAACTTCCAGTATTTGACCACAGCACCTGGGAGGAGAAATGCAGAGCTATCAATAAATACAGCCTTCATCCTGTACCGTAAAAGCTGGAGTCGGTTACTACTTACTTAGTACACAGCTTGCTGGTAGTAATTGTGGTACGAGACTGGTCTGCCATCCCCTGTTACCTGACTTCAGCTGCACCAGTCTAGCTAGCAGGGATGTAATGGTACCAATTCAAGGTAGAGCGACACATCTTATTTTCCCTTTTAATGTATTAATGCTTAAATATAGCTGCATAATAATACTGCATGAGTCACAAAATAAATGATATAACTGACAATTACACCTAGAACAAAGCATGTAGATTTCTAGATCTTTGTTCTAGAATTTCTAGAAAATTTTGTATCTGGGTACAAAAGATGCAACTTTTCCAAACTTACAGGTTGAGGTGTAAGAAAATTACTATTAAGAAAATCCACATGTGACACCAGCTGGGAGAGCTAGGGGAGACCCAGCAGTGACTTACCTTTCAAAGATCATATCTGATGGAGGGGTTGCTTTTCCAGGGCTAAAGGTTTTGTCAGCAGAAAATGAGGTACTGGGAAGTAGCCTTATATTGTAATCCAGTGCTGTCCAGGCTTTTAATAGCCTGTGATCATAGCATAAGGCCAGTCTAGATGCCCCTGCTTTTCTTAAAGCTCTGATAAGTTTACATCACTATTTACACTTCTACATGCAATGAAAAGCATTTTGAGAGTCTTGCAGCAGAACCGGTGGGTTGTGAACGTACAGGCCTCTGAACAGACTGCTTTGCTAGCTGCATCCAAACGCATCCAAACAAGCAAAGTTATACCAAGGTAACTAGGTCAGCGCACAGGAGGGGTGTTGCACGTTAGAACAGAAAGTGAAATGTAAAAGAAGCAAAACCAAACCAGTTATTTTGGTGACAGGGCTGCAGGTGACCTTTGAAAGTATTTGATTTAGTAAAAATGCAGGTTCATGTTTAGTAGGGCCTCCCTCTTCCCCTTTGAATCTGTCTAATGAGGTAGAAAATTTTAGACTTTCTTCCTGCAGCGGTGAAGTTACATTATGTTAATTGAGAAAGTGCCATTTTAAACCCTGTAGGCATGCCAGTCACAGAAGCAAAAGAGAAAAAGCATCTGCTACACTTTTTGTTCCTTAAGGACTCTTTGCAGATAATGAAGAGTCTAGACACTTACCTCAGTGCATACCAAAAAGAAGGAAAAAAGGCAAAAAAAAAAAAAAAGCATAGCTTGCTCTTTTCAAAACCATCTCACTTTGAATTTTTACATGCAGATTTGAGTACCTCTTCAATTTCGATAACACTTTTGAGATCCACGATGACAGCGAGGTGCTGAAGAGGATGGGAATGTCCTTTGGGCTTGAGGAAGGCAAATGCTCAGCGGAGGACTTGAGAACTGCAAAATCACTGGTGCCAAAAGCTTTAGAAGGCTACATCACGGGTAAGTTTGATGAGACTTATATTATTCCTGATCAAATTTATAATATTAGTTAACTGAAGCAAATTTAATGATGTTAACCTACATAGGTGTGTAACATTTGAATTTATATGGGAGCTAGTAGCGACCCAACATAAACAGGTTGTTTTACAGTTAATTTTGGAAGGTTTATCATAGTTGTCCTGTAAATTTAATTCACACTGATTTATAACAACAAACTTCTGAGTGAGCTGCACTATGAAGAAATTATTTCTTAAGTAACTAAATTGACACCAAGAACAGATTTTCATGGGTTAGTATTAATTTTGAATAACTGTGGATGTGTGGAGGAGGAAACTGGAAGAAGGCAGCTCTTCCCAGGTTGAGGAGGAAAAGGAAAGAAAAAGAGCATCTTGAACTGGTTGAGTGTGACCCGTATGTGACCCAGCTGCATCCACACGTTACTTTGCCTGAGGCAGGTGAGCACTGCTGAGTTCTCTGTGTCGCTGTCCGTGTAGACATGCTCGGTGCGCTCTCGGTGCATGGATGGTAGGCTCTCCTGTCTCAGTCATTTACGCGCTTTTACTTAACATGTAAAACAGTGATACTTAGATAAAGCACGTGGCTGCCAGGTGCCATCTGAGAACTGAGCTTCTCTAAATAAAAGCAAGAGACTCCAAAGAGTTCCAGGACAGGTGCCCCATGCGGACTTTATCCCTCCCGTAGCCATACTGTTTGAACAGGTTGCACTGAAATAGACTCAAACCTGATCTCCTTCACTGTTGCATCACTGGACTAGAGCTGCTAAAATTTATAATCGTTTCCTTTAGTTACTGTCAGTCTGCATTCTTCTTGCTCTGCCCAAAGCTGAAACTTAGCCCAGCCTTTTCTCACGTTTCTGGAGGAACTTCCTCTGTAAAGGAAGTGTTACCTAATGAATTCCTGCATACAGACCTTCATTTTTGAGGAAAGGGGGAACAAAGCTATTGCCCTGACTTCGCTACTAACTAGGCTTTGGTCTTGTTTAAACTGCAGTTGTATAAAGCTGTGTCTGGCACTCAGGGAGGTTGGAAACTTCAAATATGGGACTTAATTTTTTAAAAAACTTGCCTGAGGTTGATTCCTGTTTGTTGGCAACATTAAATCTTCATGTCAGGAACTTTTAAATGCAGGCTTTTTATTCAAATACTCTTCTGTTTTGCTAAGAAAAATACAGTTAAGTAGTCAGGAGAGTGAACATGTGGTTTTTGTATTGTATTCTTGATTTTACTATGCGAGAGAGTTAAGAGTGAAAGAATTTCTTAAAATTTGTGACATCAAAACACTGCTGGATATAAAAGATTTCAGTTACTGCTGCAGTAAGAGATGCACTTCACTCGCAAGAGAGAAGCAATAATATACTTTATTGATACAAACCAGTGAGTTAACGAAGCTCAGTAGTAAATGTGACAGTGGTTTACCCAGATTCGATGGCAAGGTACACTGGATTATTCACTGCACAGAGGACAGGCTCAGACAAAACTGTCAGGGAGACCCTCCCATTACGAGTCACGAGGTTCAGAAAGGACCCCCCTTGCTTTCTAAACTCCTCCTCAGAGAGGAGTCTGGGTGCAGCTGGATCCGGTGCTAGTCCCAGGCTTGGTCAACAGTTTCTGTCTAAAGGATTATATATGTGCAGTCAATCTGCTACACCACTTGGCTAAGATTTCAAAGTTTAGCGTGCTGTTAACCACTTACCGAGAACCTGCTGCAGCACGGAATCTCTCGACCTCAAGGAGTAACCTTGAGAGGCATCCCCCCACCCAAGGGGAGATCCTGGCCTGCAACCCACATCAGATGATTGCCTGACATTTGCATACCAGCAAGACCTCTGGGTCTCTGTTCCTGCCAGCCCTTGGCTACCATGTTGCCATCCGTCCCCAAAGTCCATTACACTGGATGCAGCTATCACCACCCCCACTGGTGGTTATGGCTTCAGCGGGGTGGGAGCGGGGGCAGCACAGCTCCACGGTTACATTCACTAAAATTTGTACATTTTAAATGGCTTAACATTTCAAACTACTGCAAATGTGCTTATGTTTATCAGCTCTTGTTTGTGTTTTGCTGGTCCCCTTGTCCTCTGAGTTTCATGTTTTAATTTCGGTCAGTTTTGAAATTACACACCAAGTCTTTATAAGGCGTCAATGGTGCCAAAAAAAAAAAGATGAAAGAAGCCTTGCTTTGTGCCTTGCAGGTTCGTTCAACTAAAATCTATTTACCACGTGATTTACCATCAATGTAAAAAAGCGGAAAGGAGCAGAACCCACATCTTTTCATAGTGTTAGAGTCTTCAGGTTACTTAATTGCTGCCATGTATTAAGGAACAAACTAAAATTTCTACTTCATTTTAAACCTGCCTTAATTTACCTTCAGAGATTAGGGTGTATGTACATGTGCAAAAAATCCTATGTCATTACACTATTTACTGAATAAAACCAGCTCTTAATAATTAAGCAATAAAACTACATGTCTAAACCAGTGATTAGCAGTTCATTTTAGTTTGTTTTGAAAAAACACCAGTGTACTGCTGGTGGGGTTTTTTACTGAAAGCATTAAAGCCAAAATAACTGTGATGTTCCTGTGCAAGAGAAGGACAAGTAGTACTCTGTTTCAAAGAAACTAAAAAGAAACAGATTCTAAGATAGCATGCTCTTAAAGAATGTTGTGATTAGGGTTATCTCCCTAGTAGCAGGCCAGCAGCTAGAAACCTAGCTAGATTTTTTAAACATAAGCAATGTATTGATTTTATTTTTACTCAAAATGCATTGAGTATGTAATGTACTCTTCAAACATGGGTTACATTCAGATGTTTCAGCCTCTGAAAAAATGAGTCCAGAAGTGTAAGAAGTGTTGTTATTAGAGTAGGTACATTCATTTTAAAGGTTTCTTCTGTCTGTTGTGTGCTACTTAATTACACAATACAAATCCACAGTTAAGAGTATGAAGTGTCTAGCAGAGGTTTCTGATGGCAGTAACTGACAAATAAAGGAAACAGATTTAAATGTTTTGCACAATACTCGAAAAGCCAGCATTTGCCTGATTATGTATTTTTGTTTAAGTAGAACTTCCCATTTTAACCCTGGCAGTCTTTAGATGTTGTTTCTTACACTGCAAGAGTAGTGCAATGGAAGGCTCATCACTGGTTTCTCAAATTCATGGTCACTTCCATAGCTCTCATGGATGGCACTTTTAAGTACACAGGCTTCAATTACTACTATACAAGAAAAGCAAATCAAAGTCTCCCATTCACTGAGTAGATTTATTACAATCAAAATAAGATTCTCCTGCACTAGCTGACTCCTGGAACACAACTGCTGTAGAAACCAGTCCTGTTCTAGTATGTCTAAGTAGGTAAGTCAATTCCTATACAACGTTCACTTGACCTTAGCCTGGTCACCTTTCTTCAGGTAATTATTGACTTGGAAACACTAACACTAGTTTGTATTGTAATGCTTGCCAATAGGGCTGGAGAGAAGCAGCTGGAAGAATCCAGGTCTAAACCAGTTCAATGAAGGAAATTTAAAAGTGACAAAAAAACTTGGATCATCTCAGCTTTAAAAACAAAGTATCTTCTAGTTATATTGAATGTGCAAGTAATTTGCTTGGAAGTGCTGAACTGATGTTGTATGCATCAAAACCTTATTAGTGTATTTTCTTTTCCAGAGGATCATATGTTTTAGCCATTCTTCAAGTGCCCTTCATTTGATAAAAATAGCATCTTCTAGGATTTCTACAGGTTTCATCATGTTTTAGCAAAAAAGTGCTGGGGTTTATTTAATATGTATTTTAAGTACTACATTGGTGTGATCCTCAAGTGTCTGCCATTGAAATCAGCAGAAGCTAAGGCATATTAACACCATATAGAAAAGTACTCTGTGTATCTTTAATGATGTTTGTAAACACATTTTTATGTTGCTTGATTGTCATAATTGATGCAAACTTACAAAACTGACATGATTTGACCTTGCTGTTACTTGTTTCCCAAAAGGGAGCAAGAGTAGAGGCTACAGCAGTTCAACCATAACTTACAGTAAAAGTTAACATTGAAGTGTTGCTTTAGCCAAGTAGGTAACTCGGAAAAAGCGATGGACGTACACCAGGCTGCACTACAACCACAATACTTGCCAGCCTCTTACTGTGAAAGGAGCAATATTATTTCTAACATGACACTTGCAGCAGCTTAAGATGGCATCCCAGGGTCACAATCCTAATTACACATTCCTGCCCGTTTCTGCATTTTGACACAGTTACTTTCCTCTGCCCTCTTCATGAGCTGGTTCGGGTACGAAACTGCAGGCTTGTTACCTGGCAGAGGAGTTTCTGACAATTTAGCATGTAGAACTGTCTAGCTAAGGGCTCAAACCAGAGTAGCTCAAGTAAAGGAGGGATGAAGAGAAATACACCACGGATTGAGACAGGTATAAACTCTTGTAGAACCATATCCAAAGTAACATCCTGTGCCTTTTAAGCCATGCTTATGCTACAGGCAGTTAACGCAAAACTAAGTCCTGCCTTTCTCAATTGAGGCCTTACTCCTAGAACTGAGACTACAGTTAAAAGGTAAGAAATAAAAATTCTGAGGCACTAACAGTTGTGGTAACAACATCCCACTTGTATGTATCCCACAAAGGCAGTGGGCAGAGTGAGTGGTGCAGTATAGGACCTCTAGACTGCAGCACTTCTTTATTCTTCCCTTCATGAAGAAGTGTTCTGCTGTCTACCTGCATAACAAGCCTTGACTGGAAAATGGGCTGGAGTTGGAACTGAAGAGATAGGAGTGCCCACTGACTGAATAAGCTTCTTCAGCTATCACCAGTAATCTCTTGTAGCACTTCTACTTTTGCATTAACTACTAAAGGGTATTCCTTTAGAGCCTTCTTATGTAAAGTACAAACTTCTACCAAGCGTATCTCCTGCAAGATATGCCCAGTACATAATAAGGATGCCAGTCTTAGATTGCACTGTACCACCTTGGGAAAGTTTTTCCAAGCTGCTTTCACTGTTTCATGAGTGTAGCTATTAGTAATTTATCTACATGGCTAGAAGTAGTAAGTCTTCATTGTAGGCAGACTTCTATTTTGACAGTCTTTTCCAGACAGGAAATAGCTTCTTAAACTCCTCATCTCTCACAGACTTCCTCTTTTCCCTGGCTACTCAGAGCCCACTGGAAAATAGAATTTATAAATATAAGGCAATGAAAGTACAAAACAAAAGATGTGCATCTGTGAACCTTCTTTCTGCCTTATGTGTAAAGTCCATACTTTCCTTCACCTTGCTCTTCAAAAAGAAAAGCTAGCTAGCTATTATCCCAAAATGTTAATAAAATGCAAGATTACTGGCAGTGACTTGTTATTCTTCTGGAATATTGAGCATGTACACACAGGCACACCCTTTAAAAGACCAGGAAACAGCACTGTGAGACATCTCCAATTCACTTTATTAATCTAAATACAATGCAGTCATCCCAAATGGTTTGGCCGCCTCCTGCAAAGACAGGAGGAGACTGTCAGAACATGTCCTCTGTAAAAATGAACTTGCATTGAGGGCAATCTTAATGAAAGTCATCCAGCTATGCTCATAGTCAACTGTTCTCATCTGTTCCATCCTCATAGATCACCCTAAAGCTGCCACTTACTAATGTTTTCTGTCATATTCCAAAGACTGCTGGCAGAAACATCACCCTTGTTAGCCTTGCTTTGTAATGTGTCATTTAAATACCTTGCTGCTAACAAGTTTCCACAGCACAAAACAAGGTAGCTGATGGGTGCCAGTGGATGGTGAGCCCATTGATGTGGCAGTGACAACCTGGGGGTACGCTGTCAAATCTCAAGGAGCCAAAGCTTAACAAGAGCACAGAAGGACAAAAGAGAAAGTGTATGTAACAAACACATTTAGTTATTCCTCTTATCTGCTGTAACACAGCAATTATAGATAAAATATGAAGAGTACAATCCCATTTTACTGCCATTGTGCTGTACAGAAGTTTGCTTAGGCATAGAAAACAGTGGTAAGGACTCAAACTCCTGGTTTAATGCATCCAGCTGGAAGCACCGTGAAAAATAACCAGACAGTCCTGATTATAACTATTTTTATTCTAACTTTGTGTTGAGATGGAATTTGGGTAGATCAATAGAATCACCTTATCTAAGAAACAAATTAAAAACAACTCCCCCTCAAAAAAAAAAAATCTTCTAAGTGTAATTGGGTCAAATGACTTGGCTTGCTGATTCTCTTGGCAGAAATGTGCATAACCGGAAACAACAGCCAGGCATTATTTGTTAGGGAATTTGAGAACAAGTACTATGAGGGTTGTAAGTAACCCATTCACATCTCTCTGAGGTCTTTTAACTAATTACCTCAAGGAATCCAGCATTATTGCAAGACCATTTCAATCCTAAAATTTCTTATCCCTGGGGAGGAGACTGACTTACACATCACACACGCAGTGCACAACAGGCTCTCTCTTTCATACCCTTGGCACAAGTCCCAAGACCTGGTATGTTCATGTCCACAGCTGACTGCCGTCTCTATTCAGTGTCAGCATGGATTAGGAGGCTGTGTTACCACCAGCTTTGAGACCACCAAGATGAAACTGCCTTTGGCCATCAGAACATACACAACTGAAGCGCACACCGCAGTATCTCCCATCCTGACAAGTACAGTGCCCTTTGTACCTTCACCAAGTGCAGCAGCAAAGGCATTTGGAGCTGTTGGGGCATTTGATTGCATCAATCAGTAGTTTCCATGAAGGACTCCAAAACTATTTCAGGTGCCTGTGACTGCATAGAGCTGCTAGCCTGGGTCATCTGCAGTATGAATTCTCTTCAGACAGAGGGAAAAGTTTCATAAAAACAACCATAATTCTGAGTGTGAGAGTGCAAGGCTTGAGAGCATCCGGAAACACCGGGGCACAGATGTTTATATATGTAATTTCATTTTGATTAAACAGCACACGTCTAGAGTATAAAAGTGACTTCAGCTACGGGTACCTTCTCTTCTAAACTAAACTAAGGAATCCTAACTGCAAAGAGAATGCAAAGTTTAAGATTGTAAAAGAAAGAAAAAATGTCAGTAACTCAAATACAATTATGCTTTCTTCTAGATATGTCTGCAGGATTTTCATGGATAAACCAAGGGTTACTTTCAAGTTCAGCACAAGCAGTTTCACACTTAGAGGTAGCAGGAGGCAGTTCTGATGATAAATCAAGGTACATAAAATATGTTTTTATTCAAGGATAGTGATACGTGCTTGCGGTACTCTCAGTAACTAACTTCACTGTTTCATACCATTTACATGCAGGAAATGAGATGTTTCCTATTGTAGTTGATTTTTGATTGTGAAAAAGTCTCTTACTCTGGCTTCCTTGATAGCTATATTTGAAAGGTCAAATCAACATGCTTTGACTTTTGAACATACTAGCTATTTTGCATCTGTTTCAAAAGAAGAGAATCACTTCCAAGCCTTTATTATAAAGACAGAATTTTCCTGATTAACCTTAAATTCCTACCTGGGCATGGACTACAAAAAGGTAGTTACAGGTGGAAAAAAAGCCTGATAACACTTCTGAAGAATACAAAACAATGTTTGGTGTCTAAATGCACTACTGCTCAAGCTGTCATGAAAGAAATGTAGTCCACACAGTCTAATCATATTTAAAAACAACCAACCAGCCAAAAAACAACCAACAGCAACAACAACAAAAACCCAATCCAAAAAAACCACCTCAACTACCATATTTTGCTAGGAAGTTACCTGTACCTTAAAAAAAAAAAAAAAAAAATGGAAGGAGGGATTGTTCTGGAACAGGTTTTTCCTCATGGCATTTAATAGCTTAATTTCATATTGCAAACATTTCTGTGTATTGATAAAACTGTGATGGACTTGTTCTTTAAGCTTTCTTCAGCTTGAGCAATTCTACAGGTTGGTTCTTATTTTTTTAAAAAGCTACCAAATAATATTTTTTTATGCTACTTTCCAATATTTTAGCAGTTTTCATAACTATTAACTGTGTTTAATGTAAAGCTTCTGAATTTTTCCTTTTTGGTAGCATTTCTTTAACTAAAGGAAAAGCTGAGGCCAAAAAGAAAGCTTAAAACTTCATGAGAAATCCTCTAAACTTTGATGTTTTTGTTTTGATAGTGAAAATCCAGGGTTGTGTTTGGATGCTGAAGTGGCCTTAGCAACTGGGCAGTTCCTTGCCCCTAGCAGTCAACAGTCCAGCAGTGCCACATCACGCTACTCTGAGTCACGGGGAGAAACTCCATGCTCATTCAATGATGAAGATGAAGAGGATGAAGATGAGGATTCTTCCTCCCCAGAATAAGGACAGAATATACAAAATGCTGCTTAGATATTCTTAATGGGAACTCCTGTTTACATTTTACTTAAGTTTCTTGCCTTGGTTTGTGCTGTGTTCAGTGAAGCAAAATGGAAGCTTCAAACCAAATTGATCCACAGCTGAAATTGAAAACTTTCTGTACCTGAACACAGAGTGACATGCAGCCACAGAGCAAAGTGGTTTTAATCGACTATAACCAAGGAAGAGAACAAAGTCCGTGGAGATTTGGCAAAGTAAACATCAAGTTCACAATTTCCATTTTGGGACATTCTGTCTCAAGTCTCTGTCTTCCCCTTATCTTTACCAGATGGAGAAGGAAACAGTCAGTCAACAAATGCCAAGTCCTGCATTGTCTTTTGGCTGTGCTACCTTTAGAATAAGGAGAAGAGAGCACGTGTGAATGTGCTAGAATAACTATTTAAAACTATCTTCTATGAAAATTCTTCTAGGGAAAAGGGGCTGTTTGTTAGAATGTTTGCTTTTTTCTGTTCAACTTGCTGTATAGAAGATTCGTAAAGTAATATAAATTGCAAGTGATAAATGAATCTTGAAATAGTTTAAATCCATTTTAGATACTCTAAAAGTTACATTAGTATGTCTCTTTTGAAAGGTTCATTTTTACTGCAGACCTAATTTATTATAAGTGATTATTCTTAGCCATTAAACAGTCAGGATAAAAACAGCAGTATTCTCTGCACCAGTGTTTTTCAAGGAAAAAAAAGTTTTAAAATTATATTTCCAGGTTATAGCGTATCCAGAAGAGCTTATCCTTTACTGTTCTAACCTTATAATCCCTTTCATTTCATAGCATGTGTTGCTTGGTTTGGGTTTTTTTTAAAGGCCTCTGTGTTAAGGATCTCAGGCAGCATGTTTTCAAGGCAGTATTTTCAAATTTAGGGTGGGCAGGTCACATAACTTTTTAAGTCACGGGCCGAGGTTCTTAGGAAAAAAATTAAATTTCAATAATACATCATTTCACATTTTGCATTCTAGTCACCTTGGATTGTGATAGACTAACTTTCTTATAATTAACTTCTGTTGCACTCATCTTGATGCGCCTTTGAAAAATAGTAGTATCAAGCCACTTCTTAAAATAATTTATGGCTAAAGTTACACAACATGAATGCTATTTGAACTGTGCAATTAGACTTGCAACAGGAGGCTCTGTGTTCTCTAGTTAACATCACATCCAATCAGAAAGACCTTTTTAAAAAAACCTTAATATAAGAGCAAAATACACTGTAGATGTACTCTTCCAGGGTGTTCTAACATCCAGTATATTAACTAGTCTCAAAGTTAACTATTTTTAATTAGGTAAATCCAGTTTAAAATAGTGTCACTTCTTTTTAGTTTTTATACTGTATGTAAATATTTGACCTGTTTCTACGTACCAGTGTATTGGCTGTCAGAGCTCAACCACATGGGCTCTGTTCTTTAGTTAGGAGATGAGGCAGCCTGTAATACTGCTCTTTGCTTGAGCAGTGGCAGCAAACTGTGTCCCTTGACTGCTGTGACCGTTACTCAGCAGGGTCTGGGGTGTGTCCACATGATCTTTTCCAGACAAACCTGCACTCAAGCCAAGAAGATCCAAAAGCACCAAGCCTGACCTAGTGACATAAACCGAGGCTCCAGCTAAAAAGCTACCTGGCTGTTGGACAGGAGTTAGCACATGCCTAGCTACACACAGGACAGGTGAAGCTGTGAGGAGCACAGAAGCACACCTGCATGGTTGCCTTAAAAATTAAAGCATCCAGATAGAAACTTTTCACAGATGGTTTGAACTCCTGCATGTGCAGTACAGTGAGGGAGGTACAGCTCTTGACTGAGCCAGCAGAGCTATCTAGCTTGCACAAATGGGTTGCAAATGCACAAATTAAAACAATTCTTATATGCTTACCGTGTTATTCACCCTCTGGGCAAAACTGTTAAGACTGTCGTGTGTTCGTGGCTCACAGGCAACAGCAGACTGAGGGATTTACACCACCTCACTTCAACCAAATCTGTAACACTACCTCTGTATGAAGAAAAGCTTTACAAATACAAAATACTCTTGCTGAGTGAGTGCACTTGACTGAAGTGGCTCACTTTTGAAATAAGAGTAGGAGAAGGTAACAGATACTCCAGGCATATTACTGTGGAATTGTCAGCTTCATGAATGACATTTCATTTAAATAGATAATTGCTTTTATTCTTAAAAACCCATTGTTTTTTCAAAAACTGTCCTGTCAGTCAGCTTTCATTGGAGAGGGCAGATCAGAGATACCCGATATACACAGCATCCTAAAGTTATTATTCCTGCACTCCCCTAAAACATTAGGAGCACATTTAACTTTACACTTTCTTCACATTTCCCGCTCAAGATCTGTGTAAAAAGAAAAACCAGCAAAACACTAAACAATTACTAAAGAGGAGCACTTTGAACTCGTAAGAACCTGGCAAAAAAGGCTTCCTGCCCAGAAATGAAATTTATTTTATCAGCAGTCAGTGTGCTTTCTGCTTTATGGGAGGAAAATCTTCAGTGATCTCTTCCTTCCATTGATGTCCATGTCCTTCAGAGCAGCAGACTGCACAGCTACTTGCTTTCTGGCAAACCTCAAGCTATCAACTTTAAAAAAAAAAAAAAATAATCTAAAAGCACATGTTAGTTCAACAGTTGAACCAAGGCTTTAAAAGTTATTTTGCCTGAACTAGTTGAATACAAAGGACAAAACAAGTTACAACATTTAGAAGAGACTTCAAAAAGAAATTCTTTCCTTGGGATTCTTTGTGCCAAGTTCCAGTTGAGGATGAAGTTCAACTGAAGCCCTGTGGTCTTGTGGTTTCACTAAAGTCTGGGAACTAGGAGAATTTGGGGCCTTATCCAGCCATAGTCACTCGTGTATGATCTCGGGCAAGCCTTGCAATCATTCTTCTTGATCTTAGCTGAGATGATACTTAAAAAAAACAAACCAAACCACACACAAAAAAAAAACCCCAAAACCCCCCCCCCCAAAATAAGTAAATGCAGGACCTCACAAAATGCAGCTGTTGCATCTGAATTGAGCTCTGAACAATTATGAGTAACAAGGGGATTGAGAATATTAAGCAACCACACAGCTCCCGCAAAGCTAATGGCAGTAGTTGTGCTCAGTTGCTTCAACATGGAGGCCTTCCTTCCCTGCCTCTGAAAGCCAACAGCAGATACTTGCCAGGATAAAATGGTCATTAGCAAGACTGGTTTTCCCATTGTCTATTCAGTTACCGTCATCCTCTCCTGTTTCATGCAGTACCCTTGATATTCATTGATACAAAACAGGAAGCAACTGGTACTAGAAGGTATCATAAGACAAAGTTAACATTTAACTTCTCATGCAAATTCTGTTTAAGATAAATTTAAGTGACATGTTTCTGTGTCTTAGAACACTATTTCTTGGTTATACATTCAGAAGGCACTTGGCTGTGAGCAATATAATGCTGTGTGTAAATGCTTTTTTATATATTGCAGTAAACAGCTTTATTTCTGGACTTACTTTATGGTGCTTGAAAAATCTAAATGTGACTTAGAAAAACTTGTCAGCATCACAGACTAGATGAAAAAATATGAGTGGGAGAAAGCATTTTTCTATTATGTGGAAATCTGACATAATGTTTGTGGATTTTGGTTTTTAAAGTTGTATTGAAGTGTGCCATTTCAACACTGGAATTAATGGCAACAATCCACCTAATCTAAGAAAGTGTGTATATTTAAGTAAAGACTAAAGCAAATGAAACCAGTTTAAGTGAAGATATGATTTTAACTAGCTGCATTAAACCTAGTACAAGCCACACTTTAGATACTTCAATTTTGGTTAAGGTTTTTGTTTATTTTCTTAAACTATAGCTTGTAAATACTCCTAATCCTTTTGAGCAGCTGGAAATTGCTGAGTATGCAGAATACCCACAGAAGGACTTGTGCTGATCAACCAAGTCAGCCTGAAGTAACATTATATAAAATGGCCTAATAACCAAATTTCAGTCATTTTTTTAAAGAAAAACAAACCCCTCAAGTTCATACATAAAATGATGCTTGAATTTAGAATTCCACAGTTAAGATTTTAAATGTCAAGTGATCGCTTTTCTCACCACATCCACCATTTTAATTCAAGAGCATGGCTGAAACTTAATCACATCTGAACACTGGGCAATACTAGTTTTTCTAATTAACTGGCTCTTTTCAGGTGAAAATAATCGAGGCAGTTTTTCAGGAAGATTTTCCTTTTAGTGAGTTAAAAGATGTTTGGGTTTTGGATTGATTTAAAAAACAAAGCTAGTAACCACAGGGTATAGTATATAGTAAACAAACCAAAACAAGTTATCTTCTGACTGACCCACCTAATTTATATCTTTTCATTACAAGAGTCCCTCAGGAACAGAAGTATTTTACATAACCAGATATAATGAAGCTGGGAAAAGACTATATGAGCTTTTTAAACTTTTGATTTAAAAAAATTCTAATAATAGTCATACTTTGAGGTGACCTCCTCCTCCTGCTTACTACAAGCTTAATTAATTTTAAAGGAGGAACTGCTGCAGTTCAGTCACTCCAAGGCCTGGTATATTTTGCAGCTGAAGGTGTCCCAACCTTCAGCACTAGGAAGCAGTGCTTCTTGCAGCATTACTGATGAACAAGGAAGAGGCTAAGAACCATTGGTGTGTTTGTTGAGGTTTTGTTATTTAAAATATGCCACTTCTTCAATTCTGACCCATGTCTAGAAGTAATATGCCAATAAATCATTCGTAATTTCTGATAATCACACACCTACCCTTGCAAGCACATTAACAGCCCTAAATTTTCTCTTGGCAGTTGTTCACATAACCAAATCCTGATACCATGAAACTTCCTGAAACTCTCATTCCTTAGACTTAACCAAGTTCCCAACTCGGATTATCTCTTTCCTATTTATTGGAATTTAGTCGAGGCTTTGAGCAACTGTTCTCCCCTGGACTGAGGTATATTGCCAAAAAAATCCCCACAACCAGTGTTACTCCCAGTTGTTCATTCCCTCTGCTAAGTCTTACCAGCCTTTCAAGTCACTGTAGAGCTGCTCACACAAGTACTGCCTGGCTCGCTCAGTCCAGTTACCTGAGCTGGCATCTGTGGATACAAAACCCGGCTGGTACTGGCAGTTAGGTGAGGGAATGCTCATAAAAGCATCCGACAGCAACAACTGAAGG